CAAAGTACATGCCCTTGACCAGAATCGAACCCGGGACCCTTGAGTCTGCAGGCCGACGCTCTATCCACTGAGCAAAACCGGTTAGGGCTCCCTTACAATTTTTTTTTTTACATTTGAATTCTACAATTTCTGTTTCTGGGATCTCTATGTGCTATGTGATTCCATCCAGTCTCATGGCTTCATATGCCATCTACATGCTGATAAAATCAAAATTTCTATTTCCACTTAAAACATCTCCGAGCTCTAGTCTTGACAATTCCATCCAGATGTCTAACAGGTATCTCAACATTAACATGGCCAAAACTGAATTTTTAATTCCCTTTCACTCCCATCTGTCCCTAAACCTGCTCTTCTCCATTTTATTTAATAGCACCACCATTTTGTTCAATAGTATTATTTAATTCATCCAGTTGCTCAGGCCAAAACCAAGAAGGCTATCTTTATTCTTTTTTTTTTCTGTCTCACTCCCTACATCCAATATATCACTAGATCCTGATGTCCACTAGTTGTGGAAAAGTTTGTTAACATCCTTCTGCCTCAGTTTCATCACTTTTAAAGAGGAGATAATAATACCAAAAAACACACATATCCTACCTCATAGGACTGTTGTGAATTAAGGGTTAAATAAGTTAATATAAAGTAAAAGGGAATGCCTGGTATATTTATGTAATATATAAATGTTAACTACTATTTTTATTATCATTATCTCTACTACCATCACCCTAATATCAACTCTTCCATGTTTTGCAGTAGCCATCTAACGGGTTTCCGTGATTCCACTTTTGCCAATCTCCAGAGTTGTCTTTTTTTTTTAAAAGATCAAGTCACTACCTTATTTTTATTTTTTAAATATATTTTATTGATTTTTTACAGAGAGGAAAGGAGAGAGATAGTTAGAAACATCGATGAGAGAGAAACATAGATCAGCTGCCTCCTGCACATCCCCCATTGGGGATGTGCCCGCAACCCAGGTACATGCCCTTGACCGGAATCGAACCTGGGACCCTTCAGTCCGCAGGCCGACGCTCTATCCACTGAGCCAAACCGGTTTCGGCCACTCCCTTATTTTAAAACCCTTCGAAGAATCCCCATTGCACTGCGGATATGGACCAAGTCACTCTCCTGCTCAACAATTAAACATTTAGACATGTTTGGTTTATAAACATCTCTTTACACATACAAATACTCCAGAAAAAGCTCAATCAAATAATCAAATAGCATTTCACACAACAGCATCAAATTATTTAATTAAGATTATACCGGGATGAGGTAAGCCTTAAGGTAATAAAGTCTAGTCAAGGAAAGATGGAATATGGGGGTCTTTCTAAGGGAATGGGAGTAATAGCAAAATCAGAAAGAGGAAATAGGAGAAAGATGAATGGGAGACTTTTACTACATGTCCTGTGAGGCACAGATTTAATTTTATAAAACATTTAGGATGCTTTAGTTCTTATGCTGAACAGTAATGCTGAGTTTCTACAACTGGTTTAGAAAATTCAGATCCTAACTACTCTAGTTCATCACAGGGTCATCCCCTCTGGGATGCAGAGAATGGAGGGGAAAAAAGAGTAAAAGGAAGATATTCTATGTCAAACTCAGGTAAACCTCCTATGTGGTAACCTTTGTCCCATCATTACTATAAGATGCAAGACAATTTACCTATCACTAGGGATATGGAGAACTTCTGTCCAGACATTCTAGGTATTTAATAAATGATTCATCAGTGATAACTTTTGATAGTCCTAAACCATTCAAAGCAGAATCTTTTGTTAAAAACATTTTAATTTATTTTTTATTTTTCTATTTCAGTTTACTTTCAATATTATTTTATATTGGTTTCAGGTATATAACATAGTGGATAGACACATACTTCACAAAGCATTCCCCCCTAAATTTCCAGTACCCACCTGGCACCATACATTTGTCACTGTTTTATTGACTATATTCCCTATGTTGTACTTTATAGCCTCAAGACTATTTTGTAACTACCAATTTGTACTTCTTAATCCCTTCACCTCTTTTACCCAGTCCCCCAATCAAACTTCCCTATGATATCCACCAGTCTGCTTTCTGTTTCTATGAGTCTGTTTTAATATTGTCTATTCATATGGTTAGTTCTTTAGGTTCCATGTATACCGTACTTGCTGGCGTATAAGACGATTTTTTGGCCCTGAAAAATATGCCTGCAAGTGGGGGGTCGTCTTATACGCCAGGTACACTTCAGATAGACTGCCCATAGTGCTTGCCCTGTGCCATAGTGGCCTCCCGATGCCCGCCCACTTCATTCCACATACCGTTCAGGCATCAGTAGCGCTGCTGGGTGTATGCTCGGCTGTTATGCGATTTTGCTGTTATGCGATTTTTCCACACTCGCAAAATCGCACACAGCCGACCATACACCCAGTATGATAGCGCAAAATTGCGAATCGCGATACCATACTGGATGTATGGTTGGCTGTGTGCGATTTTGCGAGTGTGGTAAATTCGGGTTACCGTATATTTCTTTACATATGCATTGAAGATTCGAG